GGTGAGGCAAACACAATTGAAAGTGAAAGATATACTGAATCTTATTTAAAAGGCTGCAGTCTTCTGATGGCTAAACCATTGGAAACCATTAAAAATGCTCTTCCACCAAGAGATTTACATTGTATTTCTGAAAGTCTTTGATCAACAATTAGTAATCCATGGTTAGAAAAGTTGCTTCATTTTCCTTGGTCAAGCAAAATGTTTCCTTGAAGTACTTCATCCTCTAACATGTTGACCCTGCAGTGGCCTCTCGACCTCAGTGTGTCCAGGTTGGCCATGGTGAATTTATGTCCTCTGTGTGCACCTGTGGGGTCAGTGTGCCTGCAGCTCGTCCACTAAGAAGACCTTCTGTGGGCCTGACTGTATCCCACAGTGTGCGTCCTTATGGTCTGTGGACACAGACACATGGCTTGACAATGTGTCAAATTCACTTTGAGATAGCATGGGATGAGCAGAACTTTGGGAAAATTTCCAAAGCTCTCACAGAGTCTCTGGAAAGGTTTTTCATTCTTGTAGGAACAGATAAGATCATGAGCAGTTTTGCTGACCATCATAGGCCAAACAAAGTTGCTGCACTTTCCCATAAAATAGCTGCACTGGGGTTGGGGGAGATAAGGACCGCCGTGGGTCCTTGGTTAGAGCTCTGTGACCTTGAATTCCCAGGTTGTTGGCTCTTTCAGCACATGGCTCCGTAAGTCGATTAGGGAAACCTTGTAATCTTTTATCTCTATTAAGGCAAAATAATTGTAATGAGACTAAACCAAGGGCCCAACATTTCTGAAAAAAAAGTCAGAGATGAATAAAAAGTGGTCCCGAAGCATCTGTCTTTGCTAGAACAGTAGCAGCCTGTTTGAGCTGTAGAAATTTAGCCACAAAGACAAGGAATGTTTTCTTGTGGACCATTTGTATGATGGAAGATTCACACACCAAGACAAAGGGCTGACGGCAAAGGATCATGCTGGAACTGGGTGTGAGGATTAGAGCAGTGAATAAAATGGACAAAAATCCCTGTTCTCAGGGAGCTTGCATCCTTCTGGATAAAAACGGCTTGCTAGGTCTCAGGTACTGTTCTAAGCACCTCTCACATATTAAGCCATTCAACACTCACACCTTACTATCACCTCCATTTTACAAATGGGGAAACTGAGGCATTGGGCAGTCAAGTGACTTGCTCAGGGTCACACAACCAGAAAATGGCAACTGAGTTTTTCAAACTGGTGTACCCTGGTACATCTCAAATGCTAAAGTACCTATGATTCATCAGGAATCTAGGTTTAAAAGCAGATTCTGATCTAGTAGATCCAGACTGGGGACCCTGTGATTCTGCACTTCTGACAAGACCCCAAATGACACTGATGCTCCTGGGAAGCTCAGCAGGAGTGGTAAGGCCCTGGGCCATGATGGGCGTCCTTGACTTCCTGTAAACTAAACTCTTTGGAGATACATTCATTTCTCATTTCTGATTGTATTCAGTCAGACCCTTGTGGTTATCCTAGTCTAAGCCACTTAGTGAGAGCCTTAAAAAGCCATTCAAGCTAATGCAGAAAAGAGGTGGGGATAGTTTAAGGATGCAGAGCTCATGGAAGGCAAGGACAGCAAACAAATTACTTGAGCCCTCTTGGGACCCAGAGGACCATTGAGATCAGTTTGAGCCCCACAGGTCCTCTCACCCCATTTTCTTCCTGTAGGTTCTGACCTCCACTTCTGCTAACTTGTTTTCTAACACCAATGCACCCCAAAGTCCATAGGCTCTTCCAGCCCCCAGGGCCCACAGTGACCATATGTTTCATACTTTAAATTTTTGAAGGGGGAATCTGATTGGTTGCCCTGGCAGTCAGCAGATTACTGGGGCTGTGGGTGGGTCAAATTAAGCAGAAAGGATGAAGGACAAATTGTCTGACATATCTAATACCACATGCAAGATCAAATATACACTAAGAATTCATTCCTGGAAGCCCAGACTGTTTACTTTTGGGGGCAGCCAGAAAGAAATATATTATTCATTTATTTTCTGGGCATCTATTGGTTGCCAGGCAGTGTGCCAAATGATGGGATATAGAGGTAGAGGACACAGCTTCTGGTGTTAAGGAATTCAGGTTCTAATGGGAGAGGAATTCTTTTCCAGTAATGGCAGACTAGCTTACAGCAGACCAGAGCCCTCCTTCTGAGAACAATTAGAAAAGCTGAAAAAAACTATTTCAGCTTTACTAACTGCATATTTATATTTCATAATACATTTCTGTTACATAATTACATGATTATATGTGCACATATATATCACAGCTATCCTAATTGTCCTCCAGAGGATAGATAGAGCATAAGAAGAGCACTGAGTGTGCCCAGCTTTTGGAGACACTTAACTCTTTAAGAGCAACCATACTTAAGCAGTGACAGTTGAGAGAAGCTATGCAGAAAGTCATGATCGGCATGTATAGAGGCAAATAGAGAATCTGGTAGTTCTAACAATGAGGTGACAACTGGAAGGCCTATGGTAGATAACCCAGGCTTTCCACTGAGGATCTCTGAAGTAAGGGCAAATCGGAAATAGACAAGATCAAAGAAAATCTGAAACCCAGCATCTAATGGTAAAAAGCCTAATTGGATTAGGTCATCACCTCCCCTACTAGGAAAATAAAATTTTATCTGGTGTTTCCATGATTTCCCATATACAATGTCTGGTAGTCACTTATAGAAATTATCAGATACACCAAGGGACAAGATCAAAAGCAAAAACAAATAATAAAAACAAGCCTACAGGCAATGTAGACATGAAAGTCATCAGGCATGTACATTACAATAATATGATTAATATGGTTGAGAGATTAGTTGACAGCTGGAGAAATTCATTAGAGAGCTGGGATATGTAGAACATTAACTGCATAATCTGGAACTGAAAAAAATACAACAAATGAAGTTAAAAACTTAATAGATGGGTTTAAGAGCAGGTTAGATGGAGACGAAGAGTAGTGATCTGCAAGATAGGTTAATAGGAAATAATCCAGAACAAGACATGGAGAAATAAAAAAAAAGGAAATTCAGAATTGAAATTCATGACAATACTAATTCAAAAGTTTGTGGGAAGGGCAGTAAATATTAAGTTCCAGGTGATCCCTGCTGTATTCCATGCCTCTCATAATTGATTCAATCTCCATGCCAACCACCTATGTCTTCTTGTTCAAATCTAAGATTCTCTTTTCTAGAGCTCTTGGGTGTGGTAGCCACTAACCAGATGTGGCTAATTAAATTCCATTAAAATGAGATAAAATTACAACCTCAGCTCCATAGTCCCATGTGGACTAGTCACATTTCACATCCTCAATAGCCACAGGTGGCCAGGGGCTGGTACTTGTACAGCACAGACAGAGAACATTTCCATCATCTCAGAAAGTTGTGTTGAACAATAATTTCATTTGGGTATTTTACATTTTCTTGTGAGGGTAATTTTTTTATTAAGGTATTATTGATATACACTCTTATGAAGGTTTCATATGAAAAACAATGTGATTACTACATTCACCCATATTATCGAGTCCCCCCCGCCCATACCCCATTGCAGTCACTGCCCATCAGTATAGTAAGATGCCACAGAGTCACTATGTGCCTTCTCTGTGCTACACTGTCTTCCCCATGATCTCCCCACCCACTCTCCCCAACCCCTCCCCTTTGGTAACCACTACTTCCTTCTTGGAGTCTGTGAGTCTGCTGCTGTTTTGTTGCTTCAGTTTTGCTTCGTTGTTATACTCCACAAATGAGGGAAATCATTTGGCATTTGTCTTTCTCAGCCTGGCTTATTTCATGAGCATATATCCTCCAGCTCCATCCATGTTGTTGCAAATGGTAGAATTTGTTTCTTTCTATGGCTGAATAGTATTCCATTGTGTATATGTACCACATCTTTATCCATTCATCTACTGATGGACACTTAGGTTGCTTCCATATCTTGGCTATTGTAAATAGTGCTGCAATAAACATAGGGGTACATATGTCTTTTTGAATCTGAGAACTTGTATTCTTTGGGTAAATTCCTAGGAATGGAATTCCTGGGTCAAATGATATTTCTAGTTTTAGTTTTTGAAGGAACCTCCATATTGCTTTTCACATGGTTAAACTAGCGTATATTCCCACCAGCAGTGTAGGAGGGTTCCCCTTTCTCCACATCCTCACCAGCATTTGTTGTTCTTAGTCTTTTTGATGCTGGCCATCCTAACTGGTGTGTGATATCTCATTGTGGTTTTGATTTGCATTTCCCTGATGATTAGCAATGTGGAGCATCTTTTCATGTGCCTGTTGGGCATCTGAATTTCTTCTTTGGAGAAGTGTCTGTTCATATCCTTGTGAGGGTAATTTTTAGATTGTTATCTATAATTGGAACCTTTCCACGGTTTAGACTCTTGTGCAGCATTCAAGATTTCACACAGTGTAGCTCAATTTTGTTTCCTTGCCTGTCGAAAGCAGGTGTAGCAAATTCAGTGATCAACTGCTGACGGAGTCGACAAAACAATTTTAAAATCATATGCCTGCTGCCCTGTGTGAAGAATGGTGCTCAGAGTGCTGACCCTGAGCCATCAGACTTTCGGTTCCTCTGTGTAGGGATAGCTGGCCAAGTACCCTACATTTTAGAAAGATGCCCCCCAAAGTGGTAAAATAAATAATATTTTGGTTCTTGGAATTCCCACAGGGGAACTCTTTATTTTGTAAGTATATGGGGCAATTGGGACTTTTACTGAACTGAGTCCCAGCTGTGCTATTTATTGGCTTTTAAACTTAAGACAACTGAATTGCCCTCTCCGATACCTCAGGTGTCTCAGTTATTATGTAAAAGTCATTGCACTTCTACCTAATGTATGAGTTGTGACAATTAAATATGGTTTTGCAAATGTGAAATTCACTTTAGAAATGTAAGTATCATATATGCCATATGGCATTATTTTAGATTACAGTGTGAGTCAGGTCCATAAGTGATTCTACTTCATGCTATGCTGTTTATTTTTCTCTTACAGTGATTTCCTTCAAATATTCTGAAGATTCATCCCTTGAGAAAAAGAAAGAGACCTGGGCATTTTTTGAAGGTAAAGCTTAAACATTTCTTTATTATTAAAAATGCTACTTTGGTATTAGATCATAGAAAAGGAGTAGAATAGGAAGACAGGACCCTAACTTAGTTTTGCCACCATATCAAGCTGTTTTTTTGCCCTAAAATTACTCAGTAGTAGGATGGGAATCCCTGGTGTTATCAGCCCACAAGTTTTCAAAGAGTAGAGGTGAAATCTCCAGGCTGCATGATTTGGAGTTGGTTTGTTGCTCTGTTTTGCCCCTCCAGGGAACATTTGCCAATGTCTGCATACATTTTTTGTTGTCACCCTAGCATCCTGGGGCTGTTGGCATCTCGGAGGTAAAGGCCAGGCATGCTTCTGTACACCCCACACAGCAGAGGATTATCTGGCCCCAAGTGTTAAGCGTGCTGAGGTTGAGAAACTTTGCCACAGTAAGGAAAGTTCACAGAAATTATGATCATATAGTGATTAAGGATTATGACCTTAAGCAACAAAGGAATGTATTTTGCGAGTTCCCAGATAGAGCATTTGGTTCAGTGACTAATATTAAAAGGTAATCAGGAAATTGTGAAAGATTACATCCTGTGAAGGCATGGCATTTATTGATAGCTCCTTAGCCAAAAGGAGTGAAGCAGATGTGTGTGCCACCGGACTTCAGCATCCCATTTTCTTAGCTCAGCAGATGTAGTGGAGGGAAAGCTTGCCCTAGAGGGAGAGCTCTTGGATTCAAACCTGCCTTTAACACTAGCTAGTTAAAAGCAGTGGATAGAGGCATGCTCCCTCTTAGAAAAATGTCACCATCATTGTAAACATCCTTTGCAAGCCATAGATTGTCACCCAGGTAGACCATTAGGATTTGTTGTTTCGTTTTGAAATATTTCACTTCTCAGATTGTGCTTTACTCCAACAGTGATTCTTAGTATTTGCTGCCTTTTCTTCTGCATGTTTTGTAGCTGCCTTTTTTTTTGTCTGATGACCTCTCCTAGCACAATAATCCCGGCTTGCCCCCTGAGCCTTTCATTAGGGAATGCAAACTCATTCATAAAGAGGTAAAAGTGGCTTTACTCCTGGAGTGAAGCAGTTGAAAAAGCAATCAATTTACCCCATGTTTCTGGAGCTGCCCTATGATCCAGGACCTGTGATGGGATATATTAGATGCTGAGATGCTGGGGATCCCTAAGATAGGTATCTGCAGCTGTGACAGCAGGAGCCCTATTTATAATCAAATGCATTAGCATCTCTTGGAGAGGTTGTTAGTAACCCAGACTTTGGGATCCTCCTGCGAGTATGATTACTGCATTTAGGAAGGGATCAAACAATTTGTACATTATCAGGGGCTCAAGGTGCTTCCTGATGCAAGTGGTCTAAGGACTCCTTTTTTGAAAACATTGTGAAACAAAACCCAGAACTTTACATATTTGGAAGGATTGTAGCATTTAGTTCCAACATGGCTTGCTAACATCTCTAAAACATTTGGTCAAATTAATGATATTTTATAATTCACACATAGTATAGACTGTCAGGGTTCCTCTCCATGTAACTCTACAAATCATCTGACACCCCACATGCACTCTTCTCTCAACACAGAGAATGAGGTCTCTCTGGAGAAGCAGAATTGGAATCTTACTATTTATAATGCCTCAGAGCAGCTGCTTCCCAAGTGCTCGTACCCTAGGATTTCAGCAGCAGCGGCCATGTGTTTTGCTTTTTTAACCCAGCCACAGCGTTGGCGAGGTCAGAGGGACAGTTGAAATTCCTGGGCGCCTGATCCCAGGCCTTTGCCCTTTTGTTCCTGGGTGGGAGGGCTGCTGTAGGGCTTGAGAATGGATGTCCATCCCCTTGGGCTCAGCTTGGCCTGGCTGTGTGCCTGCAGTACACAGAAGGCATTGTGAGGCCTCTTGGTGAGATACTGAAGTGAGTTAAAAACCCTCAGGGTTCCTGCTCAGGTGTTCTGCCCTGAGCAAGATATTATAAGCTGCATTAAAAAAAAATAGAAGTAAACAGTTTTCTTGACAGAACTGCCATATCTTAGGCATTTGCATTTTCCTGGAAATATAGAGGACTGGCATTGACTTCTCGATTGACTGGCCTGGGGAGAGTTGGGTTTCTTCACTGTGCTGAGGAATGCTGGGATCAGCAGGCTTCAAAGCAGCACTGCATACACCAGTGGCCTCAAGGTTGCCCAGCAACAGGTGCCTGTCTCTCTGGGCCTGCTCTGCCTGGCATGGCCTGTCCCAGCGTGGCTTTCTAGGAGGGATGGAGGGAGCTGGTGCAAGTACATCCTGCACCCTGTCTCGACCTCCCTGCCACGTGAGCATCACTGCAGCCTGCTGGCCCCACCATCTGCTTCAGGGAGGCCTGGGCTGGGGGCAGTGGGGAGACATTTTCTGCATGGTGGCTTGCAGTTGAGTCTAAAAAGAACCAATGGCAAAAGACAAAACTGCAAATGAATTTGGGGAATATAACAAGATTTTTAGAATTATTTTGAGTGTGTAGGCGTATGTGCTGTTTTAAAAGCTAATCCCGATTAGGTTAAATGCAGATGTTTTGTTAAATTTGGACCTGAAGGCTTGGATTCAGCCTCTGGACAAGCATTGTTTGGCCTAGTCTGGGTTTTAAAAGCTTTGAGCCAACATTTATAATTAGAGAGGTGTTTACATAAAAGTTAGTCAGAAGATACGGCAACAGTGGGCCGGCATTGCTGTCTGGAGAGAGTTGCATCTGCCTCCATCAGGCAGGGCACAACTTTGTTCTAGCTCATCCGGCAAAAGAGTGGCCCTGGAGTCTGAGGAGGTTTTCACCCTGGCTTAAATGGCTCAGGGTTTAACCTTTGTTTGCCGAGAAAGACTGAGGAGGTGGTTTCAGGGTTTTAAGTAGATACAGCAGGGTAATTGTCTTTACACAGCAAAGGGATGCTTGGCACAGAGGAATAAACCAGAGCTTCAGGGTACTGGATACTGCCCAGTCCAGGGAAACTCAGGGTTCTTTGGAGCTTTTCTCCTCCTGCCAGGAGACACTTTTTAAGGTTCCTGTAGCCTCAAAAGCACAGCAGAGAGCAGGCACGATCGGCCCTAGGCCTGTGGGGCGCACACACGGGCGGCTGGTGCCTGCTGGCTGGTGTCCACAGCCTGGAAGGCTGTGTGCTTGGCAGTCCAGCTGAGCCTTCGGGCTGGCCAGATGTTTCATGATTCTGTAGCCGCGGCTGCCTGTGGAGCGCCCCCTTTGTACCCCGTAGAGGAGGCTGTGATCTGAAACCATAACATGGACCTTTGGAGTTCCTCACCTCCTGCCAGGGCAGAGTGAGCCACAGATGTCCACATTATGCTTCTGGGGATGCTCATGGGACATGCTGGCTGTGCCCTTGTCCCTCCTGGGTTCCAGCAGTCCCCAGACCTTGAAAGAGTTCTGATGAGGTGAGCTCATGGATCATGTGGTGCTGCTCTGCTCAGACAGGTTTTCTCTCCATTCTGACAATGAGCCTGGAGCCAAATTGCCCTTGTCTTTTTGGTCTAGGGGCCAGCATGTCGGAATCCCTTTGAGGTGGATGTTGTCACCTGCTCCGTGTCTGTCTGCCTGGAAACACGACCTCATTGTTTATTATTCTCTTGTGCCAGAAACGACTCCACAATCCTGTTTCCGGAGTCATTTGCTCACAGTGTGTAAATGCAGGACTGGCCATCCTGTATCCTGTCCTGAATACTGGCCTATGACCTTGCTCCATCCTTCAGAGTTTCATGTTGTTGAAATGGAGGCCCAAGCCTCTCTTCTAACTCATTCACAGAGTTCTCTACCATACTAATCCACAAAGCCCACACGTCTGAGACACAGGTGTGTGTATTGAAAGCAGTTTGGATTTTAGTTACAGGAAAGTTTTCTGTATTTCTATCTCAAACTCTTCTCATACCACTGAACTCCTCTGCCCTATCTGGCTCTGTCCCCACCATCCCACTGAATTGGCTTTCCCATAGGACTTTTCCAGTAGCTTCCTAGTGGAAAACCCAGTGGGTGTTTTCCAGCAACAATTGCTGCTATTAAGGAATCGTTCTCACAGTGTTCTACTTGTTGACTTCTAGAATTCTCACTCCAGTCTTTCTCTGCTTCTGTGACTGGCTTCTAAGCTCCCTTTGTGGGAGACTGTCCTTCATTCCCATCCACCCGCCCACTCCCCTCAACTGCAACCTTGTCCTACTATGCTTTCTACTTATTTTATTTTTAATCCAGGCTTTTAAGTTTCCAGCAACAGGGACCTACTCAAACTAGCTTAGGTGAAAGTACTGATTGGGCCTAAGACCACAGAAGGAGCTCATGGGCAGAGACAATGCTGAGCCTCTCTGGGGTGTGGGTCAGGGAGAGATTATCAGAAGGACTCCATCCCATTCTGCCTCTTGCTCTCTCATTACCCATAGCCTTCCCTGCTGCTTCAGGCTCACTTGTGGAAGCCACTCACCCTGCAACCCCTAGCATGCTTGCTTTCTCAGCTGAAGCATTTAACTGCTTGCCCAGGTCCCACGCGCTTGACAAAGGTACATTTCTGTTGACTCACAAATTCCTCTTGTAGGAATTTAATCTTAAGAACATAAAGTGAGAGATACATTACATTTAAGTTTGTAAATGCCCATCGTAGGCTCATTTAGTATAGGGAACTTATTTGAATAGCCAATATTAAGGTATTGTTAAGTCACTTTTATTGCTATGGTAAATTTTTCTCTTGTCTCTATTTTTATTCTTTCTATATATTTTGCATTTTCTGTTATTTTACATGTGACTCTGCACAGGGCTTTAGTCCTCTGGGATGCCCCTTATGGCCTCCCCAGGCTGGGTTGGGTCCCTCTTTGTGTGCTCCTCATACTGGGCATATATTTCCTATTGCTGCAGGTACCATACAGCCCTCTGATTGCTTGACAAGAGGAACTTTGGATGTTCATCACTGCATTTCTCATACCAAGGAGAGGGCAGAACACAGCTGATAATAAATGTCTGTTGGCTGAAAGGAAGTCAGCAAAGACATTTTTGTTAAGTTCATACATTTGCTAAATTCAAACATCTGCAGCTTTTTGCTGCACGGAAGATTAAAACAATGCTTTTGTCTTCTCTTTCATTTTCTGAGCCATTCTAGCATTGTATCGATTAGTTCAGTGATAAAGTTGATCACTGGAGTTTAGGAAATGGATGTGCACTGTTATGGTCTGAATGCTTGTGTCCCCCAAAATTCCTATGTTGATATTCTAACCTGAATGTGATAGTATTAGGAGATAGGGCCTTTGGGAGGTGATTAGATCATGAGGGTGGAGCCCTCATGAATGGGATTGGTGCCCTTGTAAGAAGAGACCCCCACCAACCCCATCCAAGAGCTTGCCTGTTCTCTGTTTTCTGACATGTGAGGATTTCAATCGGAAATGTCTCCCAACTGGGAAGAGAGCTCTCACCAGACTCTGGATCCGCCACCATGTGAGAAATAAATGTTTGTTACTTATGTCGTCCAGTCTATGTATTTGTTATAGCAACCTGAGCAGACTGAGACATATATGAACATGGTTTATTAGAACTTAAAAAGAAATTTATTTTGACATGATTATAGACTGACATGTATTTCTAAAAAATAATACAGAGATCCTTTGTACCACTTTGTGCCCTTTACCCAGTTTCTCCCACTGGTAACATCTTGCAAAACTCTAGTACAATATGGCAACTAGGATATTGACATTGATACAGCCAAGATCCAGAACATTCCTATTACTACAAGGGTCCCTTATGGCCAAACCCATTTTTCTTTGGTCCACCACTCCCTCCTTAACCTCTGGCAACTGTTAATCTGTTATCCATTTCTATAATTTTGTCACTTTAAGAATATGATATAAATAAAACCATACAATATGTAACCTTTGGAGATTATTATTTTTTCTACTAAGCATAATTCTCTGGAGATTTCAAGTTGCTGCATGTATCAATAGTTTTTTACCCTTATTTTGAGTGGTATCACCATGGTATGGATGGATATAGTTTGTTTAACCATTCACCCACTGAAGGACATCTGGTTCTTTCCAGTTTTTGCTATTGTCAAAGCAGCTGCTTTATACATACATGTATGTGTTTTTGTATGAATTTAAATTTTTGTTTCTCTGGGACAAATTCCCCAGTGTGGAAATGCCCAGTTGAGTGGTGGTTGTAGATGTACCTTTTAAGAAACAGCCAAACTGTTTTCCAGAGTGGCTGTACCATTTTACATTCTCCCCAGCAATGTCTGAGTGACCAAGTTTATCCATATACTTGCTAACATTTGGTATTGCCACTATTTTTTATTTTAGCTGTTCTGATAGGTGCATGAGATATCTCATTTTAGTTTAAATTTACATTTCCTTAGTAGCTAAGGAAGTTGGATGTCTTTTCATGTATTTATTTGTCACTTTTATATTCTCTTTGGTGAAATGTCTATGCTTCTGACCATTTTCTAGTAGGATTGTTTATTTTTTAACTGTTGAGTTTTGGGAGTTATTTATATTCCATATAGTTCTTTATATCCTTTGTTGGATATGTGGTGTGGAAATTTTCTCCCATTCTGTAGCTTGTCTTTTTTCACCCTCTTTATGTGGGCGTTTATAGAGCAAAAGATTTTAATTTTGATGAAATCAAATTTATCAGGTTTTCCTTATCTGGATGGTGCTCAGGTGCCAAGTCTAAAAATTCTCTGCTTAGTCCTAGGTCTCTATGCTTTTTTGCAAAAGTTTTCTAGGTTATGGTTTACCTTCAGGTTTATGGTTCATTTTTGAGTTGATTTTTGATCATGTATGAAGTTTATTGTACTTGGTGTGTCTCCTTTGATGTGCCCCATTCCAGTGATCACCCAGCTCGTCCTTGCCTTCCAGATCTCTACGTGTATGCCGTGCTTGTGTGCTGTGTGGGGATTCTCAGCGTCCTGCTCTTCACCCTGACCATTATCTGGCAGTCTGTCTTTAGCAAGAGGAAATCCAGAGGTAAGAGAACAGATAAGGTCATGTCGGGAACAGGTGCACAGCCAAACCACAGGCAGGTGGAAGACACTGGGCGAAGTACCACCTTGGGTGAAAAATACTTTGTGAGGCAGGGGTTATTTACCTTTGACTGGGGAGCAAAGCAGGTGAGGAGATGTGTCTCCTTTGGACTCTGCTAAAATCAGCTATGACCACTGGTGACATTATTTAAATTTCCCTTTTTCTTAAAGCCCTTCCTGTGGTGGTTTCCGAGGGCCCTTAACCCTCTCTTCTCCCTAAAGATGCCGTGGAGTCAGGTGAACTTGGGTTTGATTCTGACTCTGCTGCTTAAGGCTGAGTTTTTAGACAAGTTCCTTAACCACTCTAGACTAGTGTTTTTGTTTATGAAATGAAATGGAATCGACACCACCTTCCTTAGCTTGAATGTTGTTCTGACTGTTCATAATTGAATCAGAGCACCCAACACTGCCTGGCAGGCAGGTGGGATTAGAAAGGCTCCCCTCCTTTCTTTTCCTAAACATCCAGTCTGAGTGTTCACTTCCTGCTGGCTCCCTTCTTGTCAGTGTCCCTGTTGCCCTGGAGTCCATGCTCAGGACCCTCAGCTCTCCTCTGTGCTCTCAGTGATTATGGTTCTCAGGACCCTGACTCTGTGTGACTGCTGCTGCCTCTCACCAAGCCTCGAGTCAACATCACATTGCCACCAGCTCCTATATGTTTTCTCTGAAACACCCCATTCTGTGCTCCCTCCTGTAGAGTTTCCAAAACAGATGAGGATGCTGTAGCTCCCAGAGATGAGCTGGGTAGGAGCTGGGCTCTGAAATTAGACTGACTGAGGTTCAGATGGCTACTCTTCACATACCAGCTGACCACTTACCCACCGTGCCTCACCTTTCCATCTAAGGAAACAGTAGGATACAGGGTGTTGTGAGGATTAACATCAACAACAATAAAACCTCTTTACCACATTCTGGCTCCTTCAAGTGTCCTGTAGTTATGATGATTTAGGGTATCTTATGCATTAGACCAAGGCCATAAAGCTGGGAAGTGTCAGATTTGGTGGTAGCAGCTTATGGGGACACTCACACAGGGACACTGAGTAGTGTTTCCTGGCTTCCTCAGAGGTGCAGGCAGGGCTCAGGAAGGGGGGAGGGGGATGTGCTCAGGGACCAGCACCCACCAGAAGCTGTTTCCATCCTAGACTTTAGGGGACAAGGGGAGGGGAGGTTCCGGGAACTCATGAGAGCTGCTGCTGTGGGAGAAGAGACAGACTCAGCAGTGTCAGCCCAGGAGGCGGCAGGGAGGGAGCCAGGAGCTTACATTCCTCTGCCTCCCCTCCCCCTCCCCCATCCATCCTGCTGCTCCTTCCGTCTGGCCCCAGCAACCATAAGCCAGAGGGCAGTGCATGGAAGTCAGCCTCCAGGGCCTGAGCAGGCTGAGGAGGGGTGGACTGGGGTCCAGAGGGGTGCGCAGAGATGCCTGACACCAGAGACAGAGCGAGGGCTGTAGCCGTATCTTTCTCCTCCACAGCCCGTGTCCTTCCCACCATGCTCTGCATGCGTCTCTGTGCTGTGCTGTCAGAGCCTTCTTCCATGGCAACTGCCCATCTCATCAACAGTGCCTGGGCTTTTCTCCTGTTCCAAACACTTGACTACTTTTATGAGCTCAATGCACATGTGCAAATGTATTTGCCTCCCTTCAAGAGGACAGTGTGTATGGCAGGGACCATACAGCTTATCCATTCTCCTCCTTGGAATCTGGCTTATGACAGTCACTCAACAAATGGTGGACAAATGGGTTTGTTTCCCAGCTCCTTTACTCCCAGCTGTTGGACTTTGGAAGCCACATAGGCAGTTTCCAAGCCTGTTTTGCTCCAAAGGCATCTCTGCCTGGGTTCAGGGGCATGATAGGGAATTCTCTCCTGAACTACAGGCCCTGTTAGCCCTTAGGTAGGGTCAGGGAAACAAAGCAAGGTGGTTAGTTCAGGAGACATCCTTCTCCTCCAAGACCAACACAGACAGACCAGGACACAGGCACCAAGCCTTACACAGAGCCACTGAGATCAGATCACATTGGCCTCTAGGTGGCCCCGTGTGCACCTGTGCACAGCATCCTAAAGTCCTGCTGAGCTGTCGAGAGCTTTGCCTGAGCACCTGCTCTGGGCCAGACCTCCTGGGCATCTCCACATTCTCACATGATCCTCCCTACCAGTCTGGAATGAGAACCCTTACGGCTCCCATTTGAAAGAGAACACAGCTGAGGAGCTTGATGAAGTCCTGCAGCAAGGGTGTGGCAGAGCCCAAGCCTCCCATGTTTCTGTTAAGGAAACCTCAGCATCTGGGGTTTGCCTGGCCAGGGGATTTTCCTCCAGTCTGTGATGGCAGCTGTGCTGAGGTGCTTCCCATATAGCATCCATAGCTCCTGTAGCATCTCGGGAGTTTGGTTTTGATACGGTGTAACTGCTGCCTACAGCCCTGGTGGGGCACATTTTGCCCCATGTGGCCCTATGAGCCAGGTACCTCCCAGCCAAACTGTAGGGTCAAGGAGGGTCAAGGAGAGAGGTCTGTGCATGGCAGGCCATTGTCACCCCTCACCTGGACCCCAGGGCCTTGAAGTAGCATAGCTTCAGAAGCAGAGCAGTGGGAGCCTGCTCAGGTGCAGATTCTGAGTCATTGCATCTGGGCAGGCCTGAGGGTCTGCAAGCTACATTTGTGTGTGAGGTCACACTCTGAGTAGCAAGGCCTCAATGCCAATTCTTAACTCTGGCCTACGCAGCACTCCTCTTTCCAACCACTATTTTGAAATGATTCCATTATTATTTTGAAATGAAACTCATAGGTAAGATCTACTACCTGTACCCACAAAAATCAAATCAGGCCCAGGTGCCCTTGTTAAATTGATGATTTCTGGGTTTTCTGTGCAAGTGTGTTTTTGTTGGGCTTTCTGCTTCATGGCCACATGTAGGAAAGCCAGCCCCACCTGGACGTCCATGTTTGCAGGCTGCTCACACACACGTGGTGAGCCCTCCCTTAGCAAGATCTGTCTGCAGAGACATCAGAGTAGCCGTCCCCACTCCTGGTATGATCCCTGGTGGGCCCTCTAGGTAAACAAAGCCCATCCCAGAAGCCTGGAGCCAGAGGGGTAGTCCCCTTCTTTCAGCTTCCTGCTGCCCCACATGACCTTGTTTTCCTGGGGTGCTCACTGCTTATGTAAGCTGCAGTTGATTGCACCAATGTTTTACTAGCTTTCCACTTCCCTCCTAAGCTGTGAATCTTTCAACCCTGCTCTATATTGGTGCCAGGGTGCCTGGAACTTCATCCCACGGCCTCTAGTAGCTTTGAGTCACCCTAGAAAACACCAATTCTGGTGGCCAGGACAGAGCCATGGGTTATTCTAGTGTCCCTCAAGCACATTGGTTTCCTAAGGCTTTGCTTCTTTGGAAATCAGCCCAGACTTTTTGCTTTGAGAGGCCCTGACAATCCCCTGACCTTCCATGTCTGAGTTTTTAAAAGGATAGTTCTGCAAGCACACTAGAGCCAGCCAGGGAGGGGAGGGGCCTTGCCCCTGTGTTTCTGCTCTTCAATGTTTGCAACAGCTCAGTTTAGCTTGCAGCCAATATGCTAAAACCCTAGCACTGGAACCAGTGCCTCCTAAGACTTGCTAGGCTCCTACCCCTCCTGCCACAAGCTTGCTCCCCACTGCTTCTCCTTGGTAATACCCTCAAAAGGCCTGCAATCTTTTCTCACATAGGTACAAGGAGGGAGCTGGGGGCTGTGTCCCACTCACAGCCACAGTCAGTATAGGGAGGAGGCTGCAAAACATAGAATGGGGTGTCTGTAGAGAAAGAGCAGTGGGTGACCCCACGGGCTTGGGGAGGATGAAGGGCTCACCGGCCTGGCATCAAAGACACTCAGACAAACTCCAGCGGGAGCTGTCCTGTCCAAACACTTCCAAGACACAGGCTTGGCCCTCAGAGTGTGTGGGAAGGCTCAGCTGGCTCTCGTGGGCCCACTCTCGCCATCAGAAGACAGCCCATCTTACCTGGGTAGGAAGGTGCCTGAAAGACTCCCCAGTAGCCTAGTGAAAAGAACACTGAACCCATAACTAGGATTCAAGCTCCTTTACTTACAAAACAGGTCTTTTCAGGCCTCAAATGTCCTGAGTCCCCAGTGTCCTCACTGTAAAATGGGACATGAGTTCCTCTTAAATCACAGGGTAGCTGGGGATGCTTTCCCTGGTGCCTTGTGGCCGACAACCCTGGGCGTGGACTGCCCCAGCGGGCACTTTCTCTCACATGTGGTTGGCCTTTCCAGGGCACATCTCCCATGGTAGTCATGGCGACCATGTCGAATCAGCCATCCCAGCAGCCAGGGCAGAAGGAGCCCCCTGCGCTCTGTCCAGAGTAGAAATACTATGCAAGCCACATGTGTCATTAGACCTTTGTTAGTAGTTACATTAAAAAGTTAAAGAGAAACAGGTGAAATTAATTTTAATCTGTTTTATTTAACCCAACTTATCTGAAATACCATTTCAAGTATCAATATGAAGATTCTGAACGAGATATTTCACATTCCTTTCTTCATACTAAAGCTGAAATCCAGCATGATTTCAGAGCACTGTGCTCCTTCATTCTGCAGATGCATGGGGCCTTGTGTAGGGGTTGCCACAGTGCTCAGTTACAAGCACGGAAAACTCGGCAAAGAGCAGAAATACCCACAGGTCCTACCTCGAGGACTTCGCAACATCTGAAGGGAGTGCAGCAAGTTGGCGGGAGAAAGGGGGAGGTCAGCTGCATCTAGGAGACCCCAACACTGCTACAGGGCCTGATGGGATCGGGGGCATGGCTGCCTCCATCCAAATCACCAGTCTAGGGGTGGTAGTGGTGACAGGGACAGGCGCACGTGGGAGTGACAAAGCCTTTCGTCTGGATGTGTCATCTGGGAGGTTTGGCCATGAAGTGGGGGCTGGGAGCAGTGTGGCCCTAGCTGCAGAGGCAGAGAAAGCATGGCCTGCAGCCTCAGCCTACAGTACTCTGAGGCATCTTCCTATCAGGAGAGGTGAGAGAAACAGTCCTTCCTTTTAGTGTCTTCAAAGTCCTAAGGGTCCTAAGTTGACCATTTTAAAATCTGTGTCCAGAGTTTTCATTTCTGTGCAGGATGGTTGCCTGGCCTTGGAGCCAGAAGCCTCTGGATCAAGTGTGCTGGGCACCAGGCCCTGTGGCCCATGGTGGAGCCTGGCTCCACGACCACCATTGACTGGCCTCCTTCTTTCCTATCCTCACTTCCCTGCTCTCCAATGGGTTTCCTAGGATCCCCTCCCACATAAACTCTTTGCACTTGAACTCTTGTCTTACAGATTCTGTTTCTGGAGTACCCCCCAGCTAAGGCACAGGTCAGTGCTTGGTGTTGAGAATGGTGTGGAGTCATTTCGAGAGGGCTGTGGAGTCAGGCTGCCCAATTTTGCCCCTTTCCAGTTGTGTTAGTTTGCTTGGGCCATCATAGCAGAGCTTCTCAGTGGCTGTCTTCTGCCTGTGTCCTCACGTGGTCTTCCTCTGTGTGTGCCTATTTCCTAATCATCTCTGTATATAAGGATACCAGTCATGGATCAGCGCCTACCCTAATGACCTCATTTTAACTTAATCCCCTCTTTAAAGGCCCCATCTCCATATATAGTCATGTTCTGCAGTCCTGGATTTTGAGTTTCAATATAGGAATTTTGGAGGGGTACAGATCAGTCCATAGCACTAGCTGTGTGACTTTGGGCAAGCTGGCTAACCTCTCTGTGCTTAGTGTCCTTCAATAGTAAATAGGTATAATGACAAGGTTATTGTGAAGATTAGAGTACAAAGTTGTGGTCTTTGAATATTTTTTGCTTGCAAAGCTCCTAAAATCATTTTTAAAACTATGCACCCTTAAATGTTTTTTGTTCATGTGAGCTTTTACATTGTAAATCTAAATTATTGCAAAGGATGTAATTTCCAGAGCATCACAAATATTTACACCTTAATATGAAATGGTTAAATCTCTCCTGTACATCTAAATGTTGTGAATTTAACAACTACCTCTCTTGATGATCAGTTGTATAGTTGTTAGAAGTTTTATATTGTCCCTTTTTCTCTTTGAACATCTATCTTTAATCCTTTTTTCACACTAAATTTTACCCTTTACTTTAATACATTTTTTGTTTGAAAGTCCTTTATTGATCACCTAGTATACTTCTCTATAAAATAATCTCTGTATAGAAATTTAAATTAAGAATTGGTGAATTTTTTATTCCATAAGTCTCCAGGTGTTACATTTTTTTTTTCTGGATTGGGTTATCAATATTACATAATTAGTGAGACTTGGAAAATGAGTACAAACTTAATCAAAACCACATATAAAATAAATTTAGATAAATAATTAATAGTTATAAGAAGCAAAATTTTATTGGAAATGCATTTTTATTGAAATAGATTTTATTTTTTCTTTATATAGCCTTCTGTGAATTGCTTAGGGGTAGAATTCAGCATCAATTATATTCCTATTTTTTTAATAGATGTTAGTTCTGAAATGCCTCATTCAATATAAAAAGAGGCAGGAATGGATGAACTTTTCTTATACCAGTCAGTGCTTTAACTGCTTCCAAATTGTATGTCGAATCATATAATGATCTATCATGGAAAATGATTTTTAATACTCTACCAGCTGACAACTGGATTAGGGCACTATTCAATCTCTGTTGAAAGCAAAATATTGGAAACTTGCCCCCTAGTGAAAGATTAAGTTGCCCAGTCATTACTCATTTGCTTTCTCAACACTGGCACCAATATTTCAAGTCATTTCTTGTTTGGTGTTCAGTGGTGTTTACCCCTGGGAGAGGTCTCCATAGTAGAAGTCAGGATGGGGGAGAGGTATGCCTGATTTTCATGAAATAGAAAGGGTTGGATGACAGTGATGGGCCAAAGGAGTCATCAAGACCTCAGGCATGTTCCAGGAGAATGAATTCTTAGGAAAGAATACCATGGAAATTAAGTGTCTAGGAACTGATTTCCTTAAAACTGTCCTTCCTAAGAGTGTCCAGGGACATGCAAACCCCAGACTAAAGATGGTCGATCTATATAATAAGCTCAAATTGTGTCAGGAACACATGAAGTGTTTAATAAAATACTATGTTGCATCTATAAATTATCCAGCACTTAGTAGGTGCTCAGCAAATGGAGTGCACCAAGGGTTTAGGGGGTTGGACCAGATAAACCTAAAAAGCCCTTCCTAAAACTGAGATTCTATCATCCTGGTTTGGAACCTGCCTTGGTCACCTGGATGACAGATCACTCCAAATACAGTAGCTTAAAACAACTATTTTATTTGCTCACAATTCTGCAGGTCAGCAGTTTGGGCTTGGCTCAGTGAGCAGTTCTTGTCTCAGCTGGAGTCACTCATGCAGCTGCAGTCTGCTGGTGGATCAGCTGAGGCTTGGCTATTTTGGAGCTTCAGCTGGGATGATTTGTGTCTGTTCCATGTGGTCTCATCTTCCAGTAAGCTAGTCAGGCTTCTTCATGTGGTAGCCTGCAACAAGAGAGAGAGAGAACACAAACTTTAGAGCATGAGGGCCTTTTATGCCACTGCTTATGATGTATTGGCTAATGTTTCATTGGCCAAAGCACATCTTGTGGCCAAGTCTAGAGTCAGTGTGGAGAGGGTTATTACACAAGGGTGTGGTAGATACAGGGAGGTGTGATTCGTTGGAGCCAGCAGTCTAACAATCTGCCATACAAACCCAGGGCCCGGTGGCCATTTCAGCTTTACTTCTGTTTGAGGTGAATGCAGCTGTAAATTTAGGCTGGACACTTGTTAAGATAACTACCTAGGTATTCTTACTTTTACTCTGCAACTAGAATCTGTTTTTTCTCAAGGAGACCTCCTGTGGAGGATGTCTTGTTCTAAGACTATTTTTCTAAGGACCTCCTCTTAGTCCTGTCAGAACTTTCATCAGAGAATGGAAACCCATTTTACAGAGAGGAGAATCTAAGAAAGACAGGTTGACCCCAGAAGGCTTTCTCATGACTAAGGTAAAGCTGCTAAGTTGGGTGACTCTATTACTCCAGGACCCTTCAAGTTAGAACCCAATTCAACCTGGCTTAGCAAAAAGAAAAGAATGTTTTGGATTATGTAACCAGAAGTCTGGGATATATGGCTTCATGACTAGATCAGTCCAAGTGTGGAACAATATCAAGTCACTATGGTGTCCTTGGTATGGCTCTGTTGTACTCATCCAAAGAGAAGTATGGGAGTCCTGAGAGCTAGCTTGTACCAACATCTGAGCAATACCTGTGTACCTGTATTTTCTGGTAATTCCTGGAGTACATATATCTGAAGTATCACTTGTTTACCATCTCTATTTCTTTTTCCCTTCACAGTGAGACATTATTTGGTGAAATGCCCTCAGAACAGGTAGGAATATTTTTTTCCTTCTTTCAAATGAGACTCTTTGCTATTTTACTTTCTTTTGATATCATCAAGAAATTGATTAAATTTGTTTCTATACCTAAAGGTCTGCATATTAGTCTATAAACTGGCCTAAAAGTGTGTGTTCTGCATGCATTTGCATGTTCTCAGATTCCATGCTCTGGATATCACCCCCAGAGGGTCCAGAGAACCTGTGGCTCATGCTGGCTCAACATTCATGGTAGAGGAGGTTTGGCACCTCTACCTGGAGAATTGCTCCCCAATTTAGTAAGGGACTGGCAGCTAAACTGAACCTCGTTGATGCCTTCTGACCACAAACACACATAATCCCCTTTTACTAATGTCTGCTTGTCCTAGGCCCCACTCTGCCAAATGTATCCATTAGTTAAATATGTGCTAAGATTCTAGCCTTTTAGGTGGTAGGACACAACCTCACAGATAACATAGTATCCTAGTAGATATTGCAAATTCATAGTATTTAAACATTTGAGGCTTCTGGTCTAGACAAGATGGCATAGGTCAATTTCTCCCTGTTCTTCCCTGCTAAGTACAACTATAAACACTGGAAACAACACAAGAGATAACCAAAGCCGAACTCTAGAAAGTGCTAAGAAGAAAGTTATGAAAGCCAAAGATAAAGAAAGAGCTTAAAAGCAACCAAAAAGAAACAGTGTATTACCTACAGGACCACACAAATTTGAGTGAGTAAATTTTTCTGGAGAATCCATAGAGGTCAGAAATAAATGGTGCATTTTTCAAATATTGAAAGAACTGTCAACCACAAATTCTATATCCAGCAAAACTACCCTATAGGAATAAAGAGGAAATAAAGACATTCTCAAATGAAAGGAAACTAAAAGAATTTGTTACATCCAGGACTACTTTAAAAGAATGAATAAAAAGAATTCTGGAAATAGAAGAAAAAATCTTGGTGCATTAGGAAGGAAGAAGGAACAGTAGAAAGAAGTATGGGTACATAAGTACACTATTCTTTTCCTCATGAATTTTAAAAATAATATTTGTAATTGAAATAAAAATTATAGAACCATCTGATATTCAAGAAGATCATTATAATATTTAAAAGTAGGGAAGGTAAGGTGACCTAAATAGAAGTGGGGTTTCTATACTTCATTCCAGTGATAGTGTTGGTGCCAGTAGACTGTGGTAATAATACACACACACACACACACACACACACACACATGTGTATATATATATATATATATATGATAGATAGACAGATAGATATAGTAATGCTCAAAGCAACCATTAAAGTAACTATGAAAAAATTACACTCAAAACTGTATGGAAAAATAAAGATAGAATCCCAAAATATTTTCAACTAACATAAAGAAACAGAGGAATGAGAACTACAGGAAACAAACAACAAAATGGCAGAGTTAATTGCTAATGTACTCTTTATATTAAATGTAAATGGTTTAAATTCATCAATCAAATGGCAGTGGTTGACAGAGTGGATTAAGAAAAAATATGACCCAACTCTATATTTCTTACAAGGACTCATATCAAGCACAATGACATAGGTAGGTTGAAATTAAAGGATGGAAAAAGATATACCATACAAATAATACAACAATAAATCAGGAGTGGGTATACTGATATATGATAAAGCAAAGAAACTTACTAGATACAAAGAGGGACATCAAAAAATGATAAAAGGATCAATCCACCAGGAAGATAAATATCCTGAATGCGTGTATATCAAACAGCAGTACCACAAAGTGCAAAAAGTAAAAACTGAAAGAACTGAAAGAAGAAATGGATAAATCCACAATTATAGTGGGAAACTGATGCCCCCCCCCCCCAATAAGCAACGGATAGAACTGATAGACAGAAAATCAGCAAGGATATTCAGAATATCTAAACAATACAATCAACCAACAGGACCAACTGATACACATCAAACACTCCAACCATCAACAGCACAACACATTTTTTTCCAGCCTCCGTTGAACATTTGCCATAAGAGATGGTCTATTGTAGACCAAATCCTGGGCTTTAAAACAAACCTTAACAGATTTAACACAAACCATACAAAATATGTTCTCTGACCACAATGAAATAAAAAACAAAACAACAGTAGGAAAATCTCTAAACATTTGGAATTAAACAACTCATAGGTCAAAAAGAAAGTCTGAAAGGAAATAAAAAATACATAGAATTGACCAAAACTGAGAATAAACATAACAAATAAGTGGGATGCAGCTAAAGCTGACAGGGAAATTTATAGCATTAAATGCTTACATTAGAAATGAGAAAAGGCCTCAAATCAACAATCTGAAGCCTCACTTCAGGAAACTAGGAAACAAGCAAAATAAACCCAAAGCAAATAGAAGGAAGAAAATAATAAAGGTCAAAGCAGAAACTGATGAAATTGAAAACAACAAAACAGTAAAGAAAACCAATGAAACAAAAAGCTGATTCTTAGGAGACCACTGGGAGAAAATGGGGAAAGTGTACATTTATTTGAATTCCATTTACTTGAAATGTCCAGAAAAGGTAAATTTAGAGAGACAAAAAGTAGGTCAGTATTTGTTGCCCTTGTCTAGCTTGGATTAATACTTAGCCTATAGGCACACACCTGATCATCTACATTTGCTTTCTTACAGCACTAAACTATGTTTTCTACCTTTATCTTGTATCTACCTACCACTTCAGCATTTTATTAAAAAAAATAATAATAATAATAATAATAAGGGAGAAATGTGGGATTCACATATAAATCAAGTATAAAAATCAAACGAATATTCATATTTGACCTGATTGTTTATAGTTCATAATCGTGATCAAAACTGAAAGTTTCTGTGATGACTGCCCTTGTACTGTGCACCATGTAAGAACTTATTCACTATGTAAGAATTTGTTCACCATGTAAGAACTTGTTCATTGTGCTTCAGAAGATCGGAGACTGATGAGAATTAGGCTTGGGGTGAATTAATGATTGTGCATTGAGTCCCCTGTATAGAATTTTATTGTTGTTAACTGTTAACCATTTGATCAATAAATATGAGAGATGCCCTCTCAAAAAAAAAAACAAAAAGTAGGTCGGTAGTTGCTTAGGGCAGAGGGTTGGAGTAGGGATAACTGTAAGTGGCAAAGGGAACTTTTGGGGGCATAGGAATAATTCTAAAGCTGTATTGTAGTGATAGTTGCACAACTTTATAAATCTGAAAAATATCAAATTGTAGATTTATGCTCAGTGAATTTCATGGTGAATAAATTATGCCTCAATAAAGCCATTTATTTCTTTTTTAAAGCACAAGTTCCCCAAGTACTGGCATCTCAGACTGCTCAGCTGCCATGGAGGGGCTACCCTGCCAGTTCCTTGGAGTTACATGCTGTGATCTAGTGTCTGGCCCCTGGCCTGTTAATGAGCAGTGCCAGGCATTGGGGCCCCAATTCCTTCCTCTCCCAGGTCTTCTCCTTCACTTGCCCCCATTCTGAGTTGACTGAGGCTTGTGAGGACATCATCCCAGCCTGGTGGGCATTAGAGTTTGGTTTCTCCCAGTTCTGGGATACCTACCAGAGTCCAGGAATGACCACAGAGTCAAATGCTGTCCCCTCTACCAGCTGGTGCTGTCAGTGGGACTGGTTGGGTGCCTGAGTTGAGTCTCCCTGTGGACATGTCTCATGTTGGGCTGGCCCACAGATATGCCTCTGGAAAGCCTGCCCCTCCTCCCCTGCACACCAGCACACTGCAGGGGTCAGACCTCCCCACAAACCTGGTAGTGGGACAAATGCTGGGCATAGAAGCCACAGGGCATAAATCTGCAAAGAAGTAAAAAGCTAACCTTTTCAAACAATATGGCTTCTCTCTCACTTACCAACTTTACATTTCCCTGTATGGCCCCGGAAGATGACTGGTTAGCCAGAGACGGGTAAGATTCCTCAAGGGAGGAACAACCTAAGACAGGCACAGTCGCAGGGGGGCCATCAGGTGAGAATTTGGGGATCAACAGAGGTGAGGCTCAGAACCTCACCCCCCCTGCTTTGAGAGAAATCTTCTGCATCCGTGGATGTCTTGCTGCCCTTGTCTAGCCTGGATTAATACTTAGTCCATAGGCACACACCTGATCATCTGATCATCTACATTTGCCTTCTTACAGCACTAAACTATGTTTTCTACCTTTATCTTGCATCTACCTACCACTTCAGCATTTTATTAAAAAAAAATAATAATAATAATAAAGGGAGAAATGTGGGATCCACATATAAATCAAGTATAAAAATCAAACGAATATTCATATTTGACCTGATTGTTTATAGTTCATAATGCTTGATCAAAACCGAAAGTTTCTGTGATGACTGCCCTTGCACTGTTCACCATGTAAGAACTTATTCACTATGTAAGAATTTGTTCACCATGTAAGAACTTGTTCGTTATGCTTCAGAAGATTGGAGACTGACGAGAATTAGGCTTGGGGTGGATTAATGATTGTGCATTGAGCATTGACTCCCCTATACGAATTTTATTGTTAACAACCATTTGATCAATAAATATGAGAGATGCCCTCTAAAAAAAAAAAACACCTGGTAGTGGGCACCCTGCCAACTTGCATTAATCTTCCTGATTAGAACATCATACTGATTTGACAGTGCTGCCCAGATTCCCCTCCACGATGCCTCGCTAGTGGACTGGTCAGTCCTTGCCTTTAAACTGGCTTTGGCCTGAATTGTGCTCTTGCCTCTGCAGCCCAGACAGTGCCATCAGTGGGCCCCCAGATCCCAGCTCCATCATCGCTGCCATGGCGGTGGGTGGCTTGGCCCCTGAAGTCTTCAGCTATGATTGGGACAAATGCCATTCTCTGTTCTCTGACCACTTCCTCCTTAGGGAGAATGGGCAGAGAGTACAGGTCCAGGGAGAGGTGCCAGGAATGGAAACCCTCAGGCAGGGGAGGGACCTTTGGAAGAGGCCACATGCTGGCACTCAGGCTGTGGTCACTGACAGAGGGGCCTTGCCAAGT